CGTCGCTGCGCCGCCCAGCAGCGTCCCCTCCCCAGACCCACGGGGCAGGCAAGGCTCCGGCTTGGAAGTGGCCCGGGGAAGAAGCCCTTGGAACCGGGGAAGGCCCCCGCTCCCAACCCGGAGGAAGGAGGAGGGAGGGGGAGGATTTGGAGGAGAGAGAGCCGGCGGGCGGCCCCAGAGGCTCTGCAGGGCGGGCCACGGGGAGGGTGGGGCGCGGTGGGGGGAAGCCCGTAGGCTGCGCCCCGCCCACCGGCCCAGGGCGACTCCGGCTCTGCCCCGCGCACCCCACCCGGTGGGACTCAGTCCCTGGACCCCGCTCGCTTAGATTTAGGTTGGCACGTGCGCCACCCTGAGCCGCACAGACCATGGGCGCCGGCAGGACAGCCCCTCCCCGCACCCGCTCCACCAGGAACCACCGACCCGCGCCGGGCGGTTCCTCAATTCTAACTCGCTTCTCCATTTCTGCCTCGGCCCATACTGCAGTGCGAGCAGCCCCCCCCCCACACACACACACACCCCGAGTTAAACTCCCACGCAGCCCGCCCGGGAAAGCCGTCCTGAGTGGCCTCATTAAACAGCAGCTTGTTTTGTTCTCAGCTTTGCCCTCGCCCCGCAGAGCCCGAGGCCGGCATTGCGTCAGCTCCGCTGGAGGAGCCTGTCATTACAGCAGCCGGGCGCCTCCACCCCGCGGGCGGGGCTGGGGCAGGGCCTGGCACCACCCACTTTCCCATCGGATCCCAGCTCCCATGGCTGCCGCCCTATCAATAGTGTGTTCACCAGCTCAGCTTCTCTTACTTAAAGCGACATAAACATGCGGAGCAGAACACACTTGTAGACTGCGGACAAATTAAGTCATTACTGCCTACGTCTTAGCTTCCAACGTATGCTCGGACCGGCCTCGGGTTCCTAAGGCAGGACGTTTGGTGCTTTAGGCAGGGACGCTCTTTCCAAGCAGAATCAAGGCAGAACCCAAAGGAGTAAAACAAGCAAAGGGAGTGCTGGTTCCTTGAGCAAAAAGTTTCCCTCTTTCTCCAAACTCCCAAAGGCCCCGCACAGACCCTCCTGCCCGTCCATCTGCAGTCCGTCCAGGGACAGCCTTCTCTGTGAGCGCCTGGGGCAGTACCAGCAGAGTGCTTAGTGCTTAGTGCTTAGGGTCGCCTACCCTGCGTTCACCCTCCCCCTCCCCCCACCCAACTATGAAACGGGGACGTTTCCAGCTCGGTGGCTTTGTCTGGATTCAGGAAGGTGGGGACCTGGCTCTCACAGGTCCAAATCCCAGAGGGTTCACCTGAGGCCTCCAAAGCCGGTGACCCGCCCGGCTCATCAGCTCAGCTCGCTGGAGACCAGACCCAGAGGTCCCGCCTGACCATGAGGGTGCCTTCCGCCCGCACAGCGACCACTGTGTTTGCCGGAGATCAGCCGCCCCGTCACTCATGTCCAGTGCAGTGAACCTCAAAGGGATTCCTCAACTGGGAATAACAGTTACCTACACGGGCTTTACAAAGAGCCTAACATTTCACCAAACCACATACACCAAGACACGCTAGAGGAGCCAAGGCAAGCAGAGGCCACAACCGCCCAGGACGGAGTTTAAGCAGCGTTTCACCTCAACAAGAACAGTTGCAATTCAACTTTAGTGTTGTCTTAGCGATTTCAGAGCATCTGGCCACTGCTCTGCCTTCCACATGCAGGAGATGGGCTGTCAGTCTCGATTTCATGTGGGAACCTGCCTCCTGTATTAACTGGCTGAGGAAGAAGTTCTCTGATTAGTCATAGCCGCATGCCTGGCCCCTCTAATAACCATCCTGCTGTGCTACCACCTCCTGCTCGTCCACAAACGCTGCAGCAGCAGGCCAGCCAGGCCCCTCCGAGGGCCACCTCCCACCGCTGGCCCCTGGCCCCGGGAGCCTGTGATGTGACAGCGGCAGCAGGACGCCAACGCCGCTGCTTACAAAGTAAGCTTCACCTGGAGCAGCAGGCCGACCGACGTGCATGCGTTGCGAGGCCTCCTGCAGCAAGTTCCCGACAGGACATGCAGGGGAGGCGCAGGCGGGAGAGCGAGCAGGAAGCCTCCTCCAGCAACGACCCGGGCCAGCTATCTGGGCGGCAGGAGCCGGGTGGTTTTTAGCTGTTTCCTTCCAGGGGACGATAGAGAAGCTGCTGTATAAAGATGAGTCTGAGAAATGGGAACACAGTCGGTAACCTCTGCATTCCTAAGAGTGGAAAGGCCGGCTCAGGCTCGGAGTGACCTGAGGAGCTGATGGGACACCAACCACGAGTGCTCCCGGCAGGAGCCGCAGCAGGAGCCATGAGCCCTCGTCCCACCCCTTCCTCCCGGCAGGAGGGGGCGCAACAGGACCTGCACAGCCCTGTCCTCTCGCCTTCTCAAGCCTTTCCATCCTCCCCTGGCATCAACCTCTCCCCTTTCTCCTGTGCGTTCCACTCTCGCTGACACCGACATGCCGTCTCCCATCCACGTCTGTGGCCACACACAGCTGCCTCGGCCTCACCCAGGCCGGACGGCTCTCAGGCCTCAACGCCACAAATCAGAACCCCAGGCTTTTGTCTCTGCCCCGTCCCACCCCCTTCTAGCCTTTCCTGTCTTGGTAAACAGCACCATGGCCCACAGGTGCTCACGCCAGAAACCACTGCATCCTTCCTCCCTCACCCGCACATCTAACCATCAGCAAGTCCTGTTCATTCTGCCTCCAAAACACATGTCGAGCCCACCCACTCTCTCCTCTTCCTGCAACCCCCGCCCCAGGGCGCAGGCAACGCCTCCCTGGCCAGTTCTCCAAGCAGCCAGGGCTCCAAAGCCACAAGTGGGGGGGAGTTTCTCTTCCCTCGTCACTGACGGGATCTCCACCTCAGGAGCCCCACAATTCTGGCACAGCTTGGCATACAGGCATTCCCAAATTAGGGCAACCTAGTTCAACAGATTCACTCAGAACAGGCCCCCCTTTCATGTGTTTCTGTTTCATTAGGGCACCCAAAATACTTGTGGTTGCCTGAAATTCCGGAGCTGTTCTATAGGTGGATTGGTCCAGTAAAAACTCCTATGAGTGGCGTCGATGAATTTTGAAAGTCCGATATACTCCCCGGTAGACAACTTGTCCCGCCCTCCTTGTCTTTCTAGCGTTCGACGAGAAGTGATAACTTTTTTAGACACGCTCTACCCTGTCTATCCTGAAAAAAAAAAACGTCGGGGCCCTCTCTGTCTTTCATGGTTTTTGTGGTGCTCCTTTGC